GGCTTAACCAACAGGAACTCTCTCAACAGTGCCATCTATGCTGTTTTAAGATAAGTAAATACAAAATTCTGCTTTAACTAGAAAACAGTATAGTACTTTTGAATACTTTACATGCAAAGCTCCACTAGCTTACAAATTCACAGTGCTCTTGGTAACAACAGTACTCATTCCCCTGGGCCACTTTTTTTTTTTAAACTGATAAAAACACTAAAATTAAAAACCATGGGACTCCCTGTATCATTTTTAACCTTTATTTCACACAGACAGGTACAAAATTAACCCAAGTGTTTCCACCAATGCTGCCCTAACGCAGGCTCACCCGTGAAGGAACTGGACTACCATTTTCTCCATACAATGATCCTGTACTGCAATGGGATTTTTTTTTGCACTCCTCCCCATTAACCATAAAGGAGCAGGGACACCGCAGCTCTCACAAATACGCCGCCAGTTCCTTTGGTAACTCACACACAGGAAACAACAGGCTAAAGACAGAATAAAACATCCTTCCCTATGGCCATTAGTACTGAGGTTCCAGAGCAGTAATGGACCAGGCAAAATTCAGCCTAATGCTTGCAAAAGGATTAAAAACCTTGATATGGTGTATTGGGAAATGTATTGACACATCAATCACTTAAGAACACACAAGTCCTAGACACCTGATTCTTTCGGAGATCTCTACTCTTTTGCACCCATACAAAGACTACTTTGAATGAGAGCGTGTGCCGTCTGTTTGGAAGAATGCGCCTCACTATAGCAACTAGATATCTGGTGTGCACTGGCAAAGCAATGAGAGGCACAAAAAGGCACCTGTAAAATATGGGCAGACTAGACACCTCAAGCTCTGAAGAAACCGCATTCAGTTGTTCACAATACAAATCATTTGTAAAACAGAAAATCTGAAGTTTTGTGTGACAAACCATCACCACAAACATTTGTGAATCACAGCCTGAAATTCCTAATCTCAAAGCAAAACACAGCTTAAGGGAAACAGGTTTACCCATTAAGAACTATAAAAGACACAACAAGTATACTGAGCTGGCAGGGACCTAATCAAACCAAACAAACCAAAACACTCACAAGGAACAGTAGCCACAGAACTTTTTCTTAATTCTTGTAAGTCTGGAAATTGTTTTGTCTTCCTGTAGCTCTGAATTGCAAAAGACTTCTCTTAACCAAATAGGAACATGCCAGTTTTTATGTACTGAAGATCTGGAGATTCAGAGTCCCCAAAGCCACACATATTTTTACACAAGAAAACAGGCGCTACGTAATTTCTTTTCCTGAGTGTTAGTCAAAAGAATTACAGAAACAGCAACAAATTTCTCTATCATCCAAGTATTTTACAGGAGTATTTGAGAGGGTATGTAAAGAAGAAAGGATTTATCTAACGTTCTACTTTTGCATTATTTCCCTCAGAAATGGCAGGGAATGGTCTGAAAAAAATAAACCACGTAAGACTAGACTAGGAAGTGGTCATGAGAGGGGACAAAAGACAGAAACTGAAAGTTTCATCTACTTCACCTGTTCTCTCAGGAAGAACACGCTTTACAAATCTCGACGAGCCCGACAACTGCAGGTACTCCTGGTGCCGCTGGGGCTCTAGCCTTTTTGTGCCTCTAAAGAACAAACTTTTTCAAGCATTTCAGCCAGCTGCTGATGTTGAGCCAGTCCATTCCCTTCCTTTGGTATCATCTTAACACTGCCACTATAAAAACAGATTACTAAGTCACCACCTCCACATGACTAAGGAAAACGGCAGTCCTGAGAGGACAGAAAGTTCCAGGTTGGAAGCGATGAGCAGCCAGCCACAGAACAGCACGATCCCCTCCAGTACTTCCATTCACAAAATGAAAGACTTGCTCTAGCAAAAAATTGGTACGGTTAAGGGAATAAGTTTACTGTGGCTACTGCTCGGGAAATAAATTGGGGTAGGGGGAGGAAGGGGAGAATAAAATGCTGACAGAACAAGTAGTATTTTGCTGCAGGAATAGGAAGGAGACAGCGCCATAATTCACAGCAACAGCCATTAAGTCAGAAACGTTCCATTCTTTTCCATTCTGGTGCTGCATCTAGAGAGTGCTCTTGTCACTGGAGTAACACACAATCCCTCTGCAGGAACGTGGCAATTAAAAGAAGTCTAAACCACACATATAGCTGGCCGTAAAAGAAGATATTTATCATATTCTGACAATAAAAGCTTTGCTTGACAGTCATGTTGAACTTCTGCCCATTCTTTCCACTTTGTTTCCAAATATATCCTAGGATGTTTGCTGGAAAACTATTTCCCTCACATTCAATAAAATTTTCCACAACATTCAAGTCTTGTAAATCAGAAATAGGATTGTTTCCCAGTGTTAGCGCCAATATAGCTCCCTTATTAAAGGAAAGGAGCATCTCCGGGTCCATTTTAATGTAAACAGGCTAGTCCTGATGCAACTTCAGAGTTTATGAGACTTTACGGTTTTAGTAAACATTTCATCTTCTATTTCATGTATCCTGCTTATAACAAAAGCATACTCAAGTCTTATTTCAGAGATGCCCAATTCTAGATAAATTTGTATAACTTACAGAAACTAAGTCCTATCTGACAGCAAGTGCTCAAACGAGATACTATTTTTAAATCGTTCATCCAGTTAAGTACTGGTGATGCAATGAAGAGTAGTCCTCAAGAGGAAAAAAAACATACATAGATACACAAATTGGACTAAGTAAAAAAAATGAATGTTAAATTCAATATAGACAAAACCAATCTGTTATTATTTGAAGGCCTATTAACTACCTGTTACAGACAGCTAGACTCCGGGTACTGATGAATAATCTCCAGAGAACTTCTGCGGTAGAAGTGTCACCCCCTATCACCAATAAACGTATTTACAAGAGTAGTTAAACGCCATCTCTGGAACAGCATGGAAGCGGGGTGAGGAGCAGGGAACAAGAGTAAAAACAAATCAGGTCCTTCCTGGCTGCAGACAAGGAGCGAGGGACACCTCTTTTAGAACAAACAGAGTAAGAAAAAAGTATTTGTCAATATCCTCCACATCCACTGACATCCAACCCCCCCAAGCATGGCAAGATAAGCGTTCTTCTGTATCCTCACGACCCTCAAATTCTTAGCTGCTCCAGTCAGCTCAGTTCCTCAGTATTGGCCTACACTGCTCTATGTGAACCATCTCCTGTGACGTGGAGCTTTTTCAAAAGCTGCAAGAGAACAACATAATTTTTGCAGTTGCATTAGTGCCATGCAGGTAACGACCAGGAAAAATTTAACTGACTCAGCTCATTTGCTTTATTTGCAGAAGTCTGACTAGGCTTAGCACTATTAGATACTAGTATCCGACAGCAGATGCAAGATGCAATGCTGTTCGTGTTTGCATTTGGTATAGTAATTTCTCTCAGAACTCTTAAAAATATTCTGGCTGCGAAAAGCTTCGTTCCACTGATCTCAATGGCTTTGCTTCTCAAACAGAGAGCTTCCTCAGCAACAAGATTGGAGTATGTTTTAAAAGAACACAGAGAATTTGTAATCAAGCATATAAATACTAGCTGTTATAGCAGTTGAAAGGGAAAATCATAGAAACTTGTCAAATTAAATCCCCAAACTTACTACTTATGAAGTAGGGAGATGTGTATAAAAATTGCACCTCTTGCACCTTCTGGAAATTATAAATTCATATAATTTTCCTCTCTAATTTTATTTCAAATCATCTTTCAGAAAAGGTATGGAAGTATTACTAAGAATACGAAACATATGTTCCCAAGATAGCTCACAACTGTACAACTTTGTCTTTATATTACTGAATACTAAAACACATTAACATGTGGTTCATCAGGAGCGCAAAGACCAGTTCTCCCATTAGCCAGAATAAGCTTCCCACCTCTCCACTGAGGCATGCATCTTCCCTTGCTCATCATCTGCTTTAAAATTGATTTCTATTCATTTCACAGACAGGAATCAAAACTTACTTGTTAACTTTAAGTCATTTCTTTGACTTTATCCATATTTATGGTATCCAACATTTAAAAAAATAAAGGTTGGAGTAACATATATAAAAGCAAATTAACAGCAGCAGTGCTTTCATTCTGACTTTTTAAAAGCTGCTTTTTGTACAGTGCATTTTAATAACTTAATTAAAAAGCAAAAGCATTCCAACTACAGAACATTTAAAACTAGACAGGAAGGAAAAGAATACAACAAATACAATAATGAATATTGTGTTAGGGCACAAGTTTGAGATGTTGAGCACTTGCTACCTGTTCCAACTGCAGAGGATCTGCAAGCATTCAACATCGTAGAAAAAAAACCATCTTCATAATTTATAATTACAGCGTGTAAGTAAATTTTGGGGCAGCAAGAGATCTGAAAAATGGTCAAACACTTTCACCACCCTTCACCTTCATCTCCTTTTTCACAAACATAACAGATTCACATACAAATAATTTACTCTATTAAAATTGATTTAGTTTTTTAAAAACATTATCAAAACAACCATATGCTATGTTCTATGAAACAAGTTTTCATACTAAAAAAAAAATCCAATATTTTATGGTACGACTTTCTGAGAGAAGATGTGGATAGAGTTACACATCTCAGTGACAACTTCCCACATTATAAAAAAAGAAAAGTACATTCCATTGCTGTTTCCATGTAACATTATTTACTGATTTGAGCAATCATTCAGCACACACTGCACATATGACATGCATGTTATGGGTCAAAGATTTCAGCTTGCAAATATACTTTAATCACTCAATACTCAGAGAGCCCAGTTTTACTCTACAAAAAGTAATGATAATCAGTTTTCAGAAGTATATATCCACTGCAAACATCTTCCTTAAGGGACATATACATAAAAGCTTAGAGTATTTAAAAGTCATCTGTATTAGGTAATCGTACAGAGATTTTCAAACAACAGTATGAAAAACACTCAGTAGCTAGCAGCAGTAAACTTTCAGTTCTTCTAACTAAAAATAAGCGACCAATCGCACTTTCAAATGCTTACCTTTAAATTTTATGTCAAGACCACTAAATTCCAATTCAACTCCTTGCAGTGCTTCTCCTAGGGTTTCATGGTAATGGCTGATGCTTTTTTTTGATCCCACACAGAAAGGGAGAGAGAAGTATTTGTACGTCTCCTGGCGATTGTGGTAGGGTCCTACTGTATTCATCCATAAAACAACTTCTTCTTTATCTTGGTACTGAAAGATAAAGTTACTGAGTTAGATGGGAAGCCCAGCAGAATTAAATGAAGAGCATCTCTCATCCATATTAACTAGCGAGGCAGGAGCGTTCAACCACAAGCAGCAGTTACACTTAAAGTCAGTCTGGTGTTTCTGCCTTTCAGATGGCGGGGGTTCTACAACAAGACTTTCAGCCAGCTTTCCTATGAAAAACGTTTTAGTTGATCATACAGTTTCTTAGAGACTATCACTGATACAACAGAAGAGGAGGACTGGTCACACAAATTTGATGGAGAAGCAGGAGAAACAGCAGAAGTGGAAAAAAAGTACCAGTCTCAACAATAATTGTGTTTCTGCAAATTCCGTGAAACACACTGCAGCTAAAAGCAAAACTCTGCGAGTTCCTCCACTGAGGGGAAGGAAATACCATGAACTAACATCTTGTTAGACAAGATCTTATCAAGCAAATCAGCCAACTGCTGATGAGAGAGATCTTACAGACGGGCCAACCATTTGAAAGATACGAGAGTTCATATTATTTTGGACTCCACTGCAAAAATCAAACTGGACTCAAAGTCTGTGGGAAGTCAGGCTTCCTTAGTTCCAGTGATCACAGGTATACTGTATTTTCCCAAAACGCAATGCTTTCTGTAACAGTCCAAAGCAAGAGTGACCTTTTACATTCAAAATTCCTGAGAAGAAAGCAATGCCTTCTACAGAGTACTGAAATTCAACTGTGGCATACTTAGAGTAGCCAAGAGACAAAAACGTCAGACAGAAGGACTGTATTTTGATGCATTTCCAACATTCTCATAGTGAAAAACTAGAATAGCAAAGAGTCTGGTGGTTGCCACCAAATTCTTTGGAAGAACATTCACTC